TTAAAAAAATAAAATAAAAAAATAAAAAATAAAATAAAAATATTTTTAAAAATTATTGCAGAGCTGAATTGACTTCTTCCCTGGGGACCCTAGTTTTTATCTGGTGGCTATTTTCTATATCCAGTTTTTCTGAATTATTAGCCACTCTAGGAAGAACTGGGACTAGAGATCATTTGGCTTGGTGAGATTTATAGTACTCCTTAAATAGTATGTAACTAGTTGTCTTAAAGTTTTCTCTAAGGCAACTGTAGTCTAGTGAAAGACTCTTCAGACTGCTAAGGTTCAAATCCTGGTTCTGTCTTATTAGCTGTGCAACCTTGGGCAGATTACTTTACCTTCAGGTAAAGTAACTTTTTTCTTATCTGCAAAATGTGGATGATAATGGTATTTAACTGAAATTGTTATGAAGATGAATTAAGTGTTCCACAAATGTTACTCCGTCAGAATGGGTAAAAATAATCCCACTTTAATTTTCATTTTTACTTGCCATAAAATACCCCTGAGCATCTTCATCTAGTTTTATGCTGGATAAAATAAATGTTTGTTTTGATTAAGTAGTTAAAATTTAGCAGTTTTCTCAATATTTGAGATGTAGAAATTAAACCTGGAAGATTGATCTGCCATGAGCAAATAAGTTTAATCAATTTATACACTTTTGTTTCTGTTTCTCAGCATTTGTAGGGTTAAGTGGCATGGAATTTCTCTTTCTGATAGTAAATAGGTAAGTAAAACAAATGGTTATATATATGACCAAAGAGATGGCTTCACCGTATTTATGGTGACTTTTTCCTAACTCTTGGTTCTTTTACCTTAAAACTGCTGTCTCTTATGACTGGAAGGTATTATTTTGCCAAGAATTTGATGTTTCCCTTTTTTCCTTTCATTTATATCTCTCCCCAGATAGGAATTGGCATAAAATTGGTCAATAATGAGCACTTCTGTTGGCTAGTCGGTGATGACATATATTGCTTAGAAATAGAAGTGGTAATGACTCTGTCAATTTTACAGACTGACAGTTTGAATATTTTTGTGGTGATTTGAGAGTATCTGTATGCTTACATACTATGTGTATGTTGGCAGGTAGTTTCAGCAGGCATTTGAACAATTTACATCCTTTAATAGAGTTTTTTAAAAATTATCTTGAAAGTATTACAGATGTCCCCTTTTTCCCCCCATTGATTCCCTCCACCCTGCATCCACCCCCCACCCAGGCCTTCACCACATTATTGTCTGTGTCCATGGTTATGCATATAAGTTCTTTGATTAATCTCTCCCCATCCACTCCCCCAGTTCCCCTTCCCACTGAGATTCATCATTCTGTTCCATGCTTCTATGTCTCTGAGATCTATTTTGTTCATGAGTTAATTTTGTTCATTAGATTCCACAAGTGAGATCATGTAAAACTGAATCAGGAAGAATCAGAAAACCTGACTAGGCCAATAACAACTGGTGAAATCAATAGATTTTTTTTTTTTTAATATGTATATATAACTGTGTAGCCTCAAGGACTTGACTTCTAGTTCTGTAGAAGATATAAGGATTTTGATGAAGTTCTTTATTAGACTTTAGTCAAAAAATGAATCAAACATGGTTATCTAGAGTTTAAATGGGAATATAAGCCTTTGTTCTAGTTAAACTTGTCAGATTCATTGTCATTTTAAAGACTTTCTAATAGAAAAACACATCAACTTTTTTGATGGACATTTTTAGTTTCCAGTTTTTCTTTATGTTGAGTAATTCTAAAAAGGACACTCTTGTGTATAAAGCCCTTAGGCTAAAATTCACTGCATTACTAGGTCAAAAAGTGAACATTTTAAAAGTTTTTTTATATCAGTATTGGCAAATAGCTTCCCAGAAGTGTTATGACTGTTTTTTACTATTGCCCAATTTACTGTATCTTTGTCTGCATCAGGCATTCTCATTTGTACAATTCACTGTATAAGTTAAAATGAAATAATTGATTTATTTTGTGTTTCTTCAATGACCAGTGTGATTGAACTCTTTTCCATGTGTATTAGTTTTTTGGATACTTTTTGCTGTGAATTGTCATTTTGCTTGTTTGTGCTTTTCTTAGCAATTGGTGGTTCTGTAAGTTTTTTTGAAGGCAATAGTCTTTTATGTCACTTGCCAAGGATGATTTTACCAGTTGATATGTCTTTTATCTGGATCTTAAATGTTTCCGTATATATTTTCTGGTTGTAAAAGTAATAGATGTTAATTTCAGGAAAATACAGAAAAGCACAAAAATGAAAATAAAAACACTACTGCTCAGAGGTAACTAGTGATAACACTAATTTTTTTTTTTAATGTCTTTATTGACGACAGAGAGAGGAAGGGAGAGGGGGAGAGAGAGATAGAAACATCAATGATGAGAGAGTCCTCATTGATCGGCTGCCTCCTGCATGCCCCCTACTGGGAATCAAGCCCAAAACCTGGGCATGTACCCTGAACGGGAATCGAACCTTGATCTGGATCCACTGAACCATGCTGGCCAGGCATAATATTTAGTCTCTAGTCTTTTTTATAGTTGTGCATATTTTCACAAAATTAAGTCATTTTTATAATAAGATAGCAGTTTGCTTTATTTCCCCCCCCTAAGTTTCTGTGAACATTTCACTCTCTTTACAATATTAAAAAACTTTACTTTGAAACAATTATAAATTCTCAAGAAGCTGCCCCAAAAATGTACAGATGGTCCTATGTACTTTTTGTCCAGTTCCCCCCAGTAGTAACACCTTGCATAACTATAGTGTGATGTAAAAACCGGCAAATTGATACTGATGCAGTCTACAGAACTTACTCAGATTTCACCAGTTTTATATACAACCTGATTTTAAGGCTCTGGGATATTCTATAAATGGCTAGACTAAAAAAATAAGTAAGTAAGTAAATAAATAAATAAATAAATGGCTACGCTACAGTTATTGAACAAATCCTCTGTAATTGGTATCTTAGTTCATTTAGGCTCTAATGGTGCAAAAGAAATCCATTTCAGGGAATTCCAGGATAGTGGTACCCAGCAGATTGGGTGTTTGGTGAGGGCTTTCTGTATTCATCGTGCCTTTTCTCTGTCCTCATGTGGTGAAAGGGGTAGGGAGCTCTGTGGGACTTCTTTTAGAAGAGCACTAATCTTATTTGTGAGGGCTCCCCTCTTTTTTTTTTTTTTTAATATGTCTTTATTGATTTCAGAGAGAGGAAGGGAGAGGGAGAGAGAGAGAAACATCAGTGATGAGAGAGTCATTAATCAGCTGCCTCCTGCATGCCCCCTGCTGGGAATCGAGCCCAAAACACAGTCATGTGCCCTGAGTGGAAATTGAATGGTGCCATCTCTTGGATCATAGGTCAGTGCTCAACCACTTAGCCACCCAGCCTGCCGAGGCTCCCCTCTCCTGACTTAAGTACCTCCCAAAGGCCACACATCTCAATACCATCACATTGGGCAATAGGATTTCAACATATGAATTGGGGAGGAGGAGTATGAAACATTCAGATGATAGCAGTTGGATGTTTCTAAATTTTCAGTATTATAAAATTAGTGTGGTGAACATTCTTATACGTATATTTTTACTTATCTCTCTCGTCCGAGTAGAATTTCTAGACCAAAAGTATATTTTTAAGGCTTTTCATAAGCATTTCCAGCTCTTAGAAAAGTTATGTGAATTACAGCAGAGAACTGATTGTTTTTATACTTGTCAAAGCGGCATTAAGTAGTTTAATAGTAAAAATGATACTTTGTAATTAACTATCCATTCTTGTCTTTTTCTTTTTTTTTTAATCCTCACCAAAGGATATTTTTTCCATTGCTTTTCAGAGAGAGTGGCAGTGGGGAGGAAGAGAGAAACATCCATGTGAAAGAGAAACATTAATTGGTTGCCTCCCGCAGGCACCTGCCTGAACCTGAACCAGGGCAGGGAATGGAGCCTGCAACAGAGGCACGTTCCCTGGGCAGAAGTCGAACCCAGGACCCTTCTGTCTACGGGCCAGTGCTCTAACTGTTGAGCCAAACCAGCTAGGGTCTTGTCTTTTTATACATTTTNCCCGTCTTGTCTTTTTATACATTTTCCCTGTTTGGCATATTACCTTAGTTTCTGTTAATAGGTTGGTGGTGTAACTTTCTAGACCTCTCCTGTTTTTGCATACCTATAAATTTGCCTGTCTAGTGATTTTATGTTTGTTAACATAAATGATAAAACAAAGTACTTATGTTTCGCGACTTGATTTTCTTCACTGAACAACATATATTGGAACACTTTTCATATTAGTGTATATAGGCCTGTCTTTATTCTTTGATATGTATATTATTATGTATTACAAAATATACTACATTTTATTTAACCATTTGTCTATAGATGGACTTTAGGTTGTTTTCAGTCTTTCACTCATGGGATCAGTGCTGCAATAATACATCCTTGTGTATGTTTTCTTGTGTACATTGGCTTTTAAAGTGTATACTGTTAATTAGGCTGGTGAAAATATAAATATGCCCAGGAGTACTGCACACTTATAAATATGCCATAGACGGCACACTTTAATTATTCTTGGCATCAGTAGCAAGGGACACATCAAATTTACGGGTAGTATGCTGCTAAAAATCATCTAGTTAATTATTTTGATTAATTACTAAATGCTTAATGAAATAGTACATCTCATCAGTAAAAGCTAAGTTTTTTATCATAATCCCCCCCATTATTTGGGTATTTATAAATTAAGTATATGTGCATATTTTGTATGTTAAATATTAGCCTTAATCTGTTATAGTGTACGTTTGTCATATTTGGGGCCTCCTAATTTTTGGGTAGCTTTCTAAATTTGTAGAAATGCCCATATTATGAGTCAGGCCTTTCCCAGTGTACATACTTGTCAAAATTCAAAATTCCCAGATTCTCACATATCTAGGTGGATGCAAGCTTGGTACCTCAGAGCCACTGATCAGACAAACCCACAGATAATTTCTATTTGAAAATATACAATATAAGGAAATGGAGGTTCTACTCACAGCTTTCATTTTGCAGGCAGGAATGGAGTAGAGGTGGTCAGCTTGAAGTGGAGTTAATGGTTTCAGAGTTAAGTTCCTAATGGAGAAACGGCTTTGGTGCTTGCCGTATTAAAGGTTATATGTAATGAATTTGAATTTTGGCATTTAGTGCTTGGCAGTGGCGGGGGTAGTGATTTCCTCATCAAGCCACTTATGCAACATTATTTTGGGTGATGTTACCTTTACATCTGTTTTTTTCAGCCCTTCTAGTTGACATAGTGACAGTGACACTACCCTTTAATAAATTACCTTTTTCTTTCATTTAGCCAGAGTGGATTCTGCATACTGACTGCTAAAAACCTTTGATACTTTTGGTACAGTACACATTGTTTGCATGTCTGCGTAGTGAGAAATATAAAGATAACTTGCTTCTAAAATTACACCATAGAGATTTTTAAATAATACCTGGTACCTGTCCTGACATGGCTATGTGGTGGTAATAAGAAAATTAGTTGCTTTCCTTTCTGAGCTAATTATGATATGAGGTGATTGTGAATTAACATCTCTAAGCTAAGATTTTTCTATGATTATTCAAATATGCTTCTTCAAAGATGCTTTTGCTCCCTTGAAAAGTTTGATACTTTATTATTGGTTTTGATGTTATTGTAAAAGCTTTTAGCAGCCCTGAAACAAAAAGCCATAAATCATTGCGGCATAAGACTTCCATTTTAAACTCAGACCACATT